TGACTTCAATCTAGCATGACGTCAGTAAGTCACCGTGACATCATCATGTCTGAATCAGGTATTGACAATCAGTCATGCATGCATGCCTGCGTGCATGGTCTGATCAGGACGATGGGCTGCCGCATGCATGCGCAGCTATATAGGACGTCAGGAATTATCCCTAATTTATCCTTAAGTAAAATGGTCAAGTTCTTGTTCATATTTGTGGTAAAAATGTTGTCTATTCGTCGTTTTGTTAAGGAAGGGTTAAGATGCCACTGAGTCTTGAATGACTGGGGCAACGACTTGATATAAACAATGTGTCAAGTAGGTGTTCTAATTATTGTCTAAGTTGGGACGACATTATTGTTGTTAAGAATTGGTGGTTAAACTTTTGGTAACTTCTTGTTAATTGTGTGATACTCTAAGCTGGAATGACCCACCCAAAGTCAATATTGGTGTTAGAATGTCTACTTTGGAGAGTGATAGTAGATGATAACGAAAGGGAGATCTTGTTAAGGCTACGTTAAGAATGCCTTTACCAACCACCGATTAACAAATTTTCGCACCTTAGTGCCTCAGTCACAGAACCTTGGGTTGCATCCTTTCACATTGCTTGGTGGTGTCATCATACTAGCTAGTAGCCCACCACAACAGCCACCCACCACCGCAGCCACTGCTTTGCCTAGCCTCGCCCCCCTCGCTCCTTAACATATCTATTTAGTATTTATTTCCCTTCTAAGCTAGCAAATGCCCACAAACAACCACCAAAGACACCACCATGGGCAACAATAATTCATCATCATCTTCTTCTTCTTCTTGGAGCCCGCGTGCGTGGTTGGGAAGTTCCATCCCCTGCTTGAAACCTAAAAGAGAGCACAAACTTTTAATCCATGGATTGGATTCTTCGGGAAAGACCACCTTGCTGTATCGTCTCAAGATGGGTGAGGTTGTGACAACCATCCCCACAATTGGATTCAATGTAGAGACATTGAAATTCGAGGGCCGAGAATTTGTGGCCTGGGATGTTGGTGGACGGGACAAGATACGACCACTGATGAGGCATTACTATCCCGGGACCGATGGCGTCATTTTCATGGTGGATTCCAACTACGAGGATCGCATGCAACAGGCCAGGGACGAGTTTTACAGACTCGTTACTGATGAATTGATGGAAAACAAGCCTGTCCTGTTGCTTTGCAACAAGCAAGATCTGCCCAATGCGTGGTCCCCTGAACGGGTGGCATCATTCTTTGGAGTGGAAACAGCCAGCAAAACTACAAGGATGGTCCGTGTCCTTGGTTGTATTGCCACAAAGGCAGAGAATGTCTGGGAAGGTTTGGAATGGTTGGCCATGGCCATTGAAAATGATGGTGCTAAGGTTGACGAAGAATCAGACACTGAGGAAGAGCAACTCGAGGAGGCAGAGGACCTGGCCACCGTCTCTCACCCAGAGAAGCGAGAGCTCAGCCACGACCCAACAGCTCCTGCAAATCCCACCCTCAAGCACTTTCAACCAATCAAGCAGGGCACAATGTGTCCCTTTGCCAAAGCTGCCAAGCTTTGGGGTGGATTAAGCCAGACACCTACCTTGGATGTCAAAGAACTGGCCAGTTCGCATGCCGAGGCACTAACCAAGTTCGTCCGTTGTAGTGATAGTCAAAAGTTGGATGGCTTTTGCATTGAGCTAGAAGATCCACGAGCACAAAGTGCGGACCCAGAAGATGTTGGAGCCTGCGTGAAGGAAGTGTTGACCTTGCTGTCTGATCTAGACCCAGCCAAGGAATGCGTGATGAGTGTCAATTACATTGGCTCGCGGGGTTGGCGCTTCCGCTTTGATCAAATGGATTTCTTTGTGACAACCTTTGCTCCCTGTTATTCCAAGACTTCCAGTCGTTATGCCTTTGAAACTGGACGGGCCTTTATCCTATTGCAGCCCGAGAGTTCGTTCCTGCGACATGATCTTCCCGTCGACAGTCCTCACACCAATTGGGAGGAACCGCAGACTATTCGTGACAAGACAAGGGTGGCCTTTCACAAAGCAGGGCAGCCATATTTCATTCCTCGCACAACAAACTATCCCGCGGCAGAACACATTGTCAAACCCTTGAAGGATGACGGCATTGCTGTGGTTCAATGGTGGCTGGACAAAACAGTGTCAAGACAAGAGTAGAGTAAACGACCTTCTAATAGGCTTAGTTACGGACCACCTGCACAAGATTCCCTTTTGATCATGACGCCGAAAGACACGAGCTACACCGACATGGTTCTGTAGCATAGCAATTACTTCGTGCGGCTGTACGGTACGGTACGGGCACTGCATATTGGTTGGCTTTGCAAATATTGGCAGGTAGCAGCAGGCTCGACAGAAAATCTGCCTGTGAAAAATATAGAAAAGCTTCAAAGCTCAGACTAAACGACAACACCCAATTCCAGAAGAAGTGGCCCAGAAGATTTCGGCACAGAAGAAAATGGTGACTGTTGGGCTGTGGAAAGTGTATCGTGTTTTCTCTCAAGCGTGCTGGCTATAGTGGGTTGTTTTTCTATTTTCGATAGAGCCGTCGAGTGGCATTCCTGGGAAAACTAGCAACCAGCCGCATCATCGTAAAGACGCCCAAACCATCAATCAGAGTACTGATCTGAGCCTAGCTAGGAAAGATCCTTGAGGTCAAAATCGTCTGGGAAAGCTGAGACGGAAAAAGGGGCGAGTGCCATTAGAAAGGTTATTCTTATGAAACAATATATGCTCAGTACCAGTACCCAGCGCGAAATAGCTTACCTAAGAAAACATTCTGATGGGCGATGGAGACTTTTTGCCGCTTTCCTGCTTGCCCAAACTCCACCGGTCCAGACTGCTTGGATTTCTGACTCCATCCACGCTGTTGCTGTTGCTCGCCGCTGCTTTGTCCGCTGGTGCGTTCGGGTTCCATCTTGCCTTTGTCGGACGAATATTATAACAGCGTTAGGTCCTCGTTTGTACAGATACGGTAGCACAGGGAGGTTGATGCTGTGAACGGAGAAGGTCGTTACTATGGGTTAGAGGGGACTGTGGTATGGTGAGGATGGGTTTCAGAGGAGGTTGATGCTCAATTGCGATCTGTGGATTATGTGAATGGTCGAGGGATCGTGGATCCTCAAGCCGTCAAAGCTGCCAAACTAGCTTTTTGCCTCCGTAAGCAGAGCGGTCGAGTGAAAGTCAAGTCAAAAACATTGAGACGACGCCAATTCTGCCGAATTCTGTCTTCTAGTAATAATAAAGCATTTGACTACTACAGGTACAGCCATATGTAAAGGGGTCCAAAACACTTGCTAGCTAGCTTGGTATTGTTGTAAGGATCCCACTGTCATTCAGGTCGCTGGTGTAAGAAGAAGAAGAGCTGTAAAATGAAGAAGAAGAAACCCAAAACATCCTCCCTTTTTGGATTCGTTGCAGTTTTGTTCTGCAACTTTGGCACTCCACAATGGCAGTGGCAATCCACAGCGTTCCATCCTGCAACAGGCCAACGGCCGCTGAGATCCTTTCTAACAAGACAGTCTCCCTCAACGGCACTCTTTCTCCAAAAAGAAGAACCAATCGAACTGACATCCTACCAATCAGCTCTCTGTATCATTCCTCCCGATGAATGCTGGGATACGCTGCAACGAGCCCGTCATTTTGCAGGAGATCAAGCATATCATCAATGGCCTCCCGCGATACGGTTGTTTCATCCCTTTTGTCCTCGCGACCAGTCGTCCGAGTTGGCATTGGAAGTGCTTTCCAAAGTAGTCGAACGCCACAATATTCAACCCTTTTCCATTACACTCAATCGATGGACGGTCATGCCCGTTCCAGAAAACTTGTCGCCGTTGCGATCCACAACAGACGAAGAAGAAGATGTGTCACTGGAAGACGATGATTCTCCCATTCAAATCGACCCGAACTATGAGGAAATTCAAGAGCTCATAGCCGAGGAAGCAACTGTGGGAGTAGAACGAAAAAAGCTACGAGAATTCAGACGAAAACAAAAAAGTATCCTGAAAGAGCTGGAGCAACACAACAGTAACAATACACTAGGCGATGATTCGTTTGAAAGAACCATTGCAGCACTGCTTGCCGCACCCGAAGAAGAGGAAGAAGAAGCACCACCGCCAACACCAGAACCCCCGCAACCACCAGTCGACGAATTCAATGGACCTGCCATTATTGCCTTGGAACCAGATGAACGAAGCAGCCAGAAAATTGCAATGCTCAGAGAGCTACTACGTCTGGAACTAGCTGGAGATCATCAAGCTGCGGAAGCACTAATAGAGAAGAATCGCTCTCCTAACGTGTGGGCAGGTGGTTTTGATGATGACAGTGATGAGGAACAACAATTACTGCAAGGTGACGACGAACAGGATCCCTTTCGACCGTTGATACCCATGGGGCGATTTCCAACTACGGATGCTGCTCTGCAAACAGCACGAAAGCTCAAGGGATTGTGGGATCCCTTGTCTTTTGAAGTTACAGAGTTGCATTGTATCACTCAAGCTCAGAGAACATTGACAGCAGAAACCAGCAACAACATTCATCGCAGAATACAAGTGGAAAGAGAGCTACCAAGCATTCCCTTTGGCTGTGATGCCATGGTTATGCTGATGGGAGAAGAGCTAGAAATGGATGATGAATCCAATCAACTACTCGCGAATCACGTTTGGGAGGAGGGCAATCTAGGTGGATACTTTCAGGATGAACAAAGCATGGAATCGCCACTGGATGCAGCAGAAGAGGACGACTCGGACGAATTTACTAACAGATACCAAGAACGAATGGATTCCTTTGAGAGAAAATTGGACACGAAAGAGGGGGATTTTGAGGACCTGATGAATTGGCTCGACGGCGACGAAGACGATGAAGACACGGAAGAACTCATTGGGACGTCAATTGTCATTGGAAGAACCCACTTGTTCTCCGGCGAAAAACGAATCTATGCAGGAATGCCAGCAGCTAGCGCGTCCGAAGAAAGTGAAACAGCATTCATCTTGGGAGGTGGCGGCTTGGGCTCGGATAGCTTTGCATCGTCCATCTTTGACGACTTGGACTTTAAGCTGCAATGACAGACTAAACGACGTGACGAGCTTACATGTACAGTACGGTGGGTCGTGAAGTGTTTTCGATCTGTAGATGAAACAATTTTGATGGCAAGCACATTAGTTACTTTATCAATTGCCTCCCTCATCACTCCCTAGCTGAACGGGTTCAATCTATCCAGAAGCGTCGTTGTCTCCGAAGGCTCTTCTTTGCCTGCTCCTTCCTCGACAACGCGCACAATATTGGGTTCACCAGATGTTATGGATGAGTAGTTCAATTCTCCGCGGCGTTTCTTCCTGTTTCTAACAAATCTTCTCCAGCGCTGAAAGCCCCAGCGAGCAAGCTCAAACTTCTTTCGTTCTTGTCTATCGTACTCGTCGTAGATTTCCTCTTGAATCAAGGTTTCCAGAACGTCCTCAAGAGTGACGACTCTACGTTAAAGAATTCAAGGCAAGTTTGACGTGAGAAATGGAAGAGATGGATGACAAAGGGATTTCAGTTTCCCGAACGAAAGAAACGTACCCCATGAGTCCTGCTTCATCAGGTACAGGTTCACGCTTCTTGAGTGCTGCCATAGCCTCTTCAGGCCTCGTGCACACCAGAGCCATGTGGGAACACCTGACTCCACCCTCTTGAAAAATATTGATAAGATCAACTAGGGACGTGTGCTGATAAATGTAGGAAGACGCGGGATGTGAGCGGGATGCTGTCATCATGGTGGCGTTCTGACGGGCGTGACAAGTAATTTCCTGGACTTACAGGTGAAACACAACGCGGAATAGTAAGGGGCAGTGTCGCGACCTCTCGCTGGTCCTGACTATCCACCACAATCAGCCGCTTAGTAGATAAGATTCCAAAGACTCTCGTATTGTCGTCAGCGTCCTCATCAGATTTCCGGTAAATTGGGATGCGGCTGAATCCGCTTCGGTAGATCTTCACAGCATTTCTCTCGTTCAGAATCATATCAGAAGGAATGGCGAACACTTGACTCCATGGGGTGTATACCTCACCAGCATTGGTGGTTCCCATTTGTAGTGCTCCCTCGACCATGGTTACTTCGTCGACGTGAAGCTCATCCGACTCCATTAATTGGCGACGCGAAAATTGACGCTTCACTGCACGGAGAGTGTTCCTGATTTCTGGATGGACCTTTCTGCCTGAGCTTCTCTGGGATGTGTACGTGTCCAAGCTTTCCATGGACTCGAACTCTTTGATGGCCTGTTTCAGGTTGCTCTTTCGCTTTCTCTTACTAGCCAAGTGCTCCTCATACTGAATTCGGACGAGGGCAGTCAGTTCGCCTCGATTATATCCGCTGTCATGCTCGTCAGCAAGCACACGGTCGAGTATCTTCGCAATAGGCCACGCAACAGGAGAAAGTACGAACATCACTGTGCGCACAATTGGAGCCAAACTCGATGCTAGCTTGACTTGATTGGGTCCAGTAAACAGAGCCGTGGGGATAATTTCACCAAAGAACTGCAAAGAACTGTTCAGGCCTCCGCTGTGGAACCGCATACGGCATTCAAGTATACCGTCTCGAGTGGACTTACCAATACCAAAGTAACTGATATGACAACAGCCGCATATCCTCCAACAAGCTTGTCCAGGAACAATGGTAATGCCTCATTCGCGAGGGCTTTTTTTGGAGGGGATATTAAGTTAGGAAAGAAGATGAGATGCACGCCAGTGGACTGCCAAATCCATGCAGCACGAGCCCAGTGACACGAGTCCATCAAGCAACGCACCATTCATGAGAAGAAGGCTGACCAGGAGTAAGTGATGCTGCCTCACGATTGGCAGCAAGTTTGCCGCCGCTTTTCGCTCCTCTTCGGTGGCACCGGCTCGTTCTTTGATTAGCAACATGAGTTCGTCTAGTGAAAGGAGACCCATCGTCAGCCCAGCAGCAAGGGCGGCTGTACAAACACAAACGAAAGCACAGATGATATTGACGTAAAGGTCAGCTCCTGTTGGTCGCACAAAATCTTCTTCTTCTTCTTCTTCTTCTTCTTCAGTCAGCCTCCTGCTGCCTTGGTCACTGCCCCTGCTGGCACTGACGCTGTCCACAGTTTCGTTCGGGCAGTGGTGTTCTTGGAGAATATCGTCGACTGCATCCCACATTGTCGACTGAAAGAAGTCCGGGATGACTTCGATGATCCTGTTTTCGTAGCTCACAAGACCTATTTGAACGCCTTTTTGCGCTATTCGTTGGATCACATTGGATTCAATTCCCTGGACCACGGGTTCATGAATATCACCAACTGTAACATCCAGTTGTGACACGACCACGCCGAACAGTACCTCTGGAATACAAGGTGGAAGATCTTGCCAATGAATGACGTGTCCAAGTGTCAAATCGTCCACCTCGGCACGATCTAGTGGCACAAACAGAGAAACGGTGGCATTTATGCTGTCGACGCGGATGGCTGCTGTCATAGATTCCACCAGCGGTTCAACCTCGTGCGCGTTGACAATGAAGCCATCAGCATGGGTTGATGCACTGACTGAGCCGATCAAGTCAACTTCAATTGTCAAGTTGGTCCAACTGAAATGCGTCTGCATCGTTGAAGTTCCAATCACAGTAGCAGGAGTCACGACAGCGGTGTCCAGCCCATGAATTCGAATGTTTGTCAAGTTGATGCGGAGATCCACAAGCGTGGTGGACAAGTTGACTGTCATTTCATTTTGCGAAGAGGCGAAGACAGAATCTTCATTCGTAAAGTTGCCTCTCACAACCGCGTTGAAACCATAGTCCATACCATCTCCGGTGGATGCCGTTGGGTCAGGTTTCCTTTCTGCGTAGAAAGAGTTCAGGTTTCGCAATGCCATGCCCAGTAGATCCCCTGCTAGTTCATCACCCTCAAGACTGACGATGCTGGCGTTACCTGGATTGATGAATTCGTGTTCCAGATAAAGCGGATCAGCCCGTTCAGGGATGGCGGCATTATCGATCTCGTCCAACACACCATCCGCCAACCCGACGGCGAGTTCTAGTATGAAGGTCATGATCCCGCAAGATTTTTCCTCGGCTTTATTTTCAACTATCCTCCGAATGAAACCTCTACCAGAGAAACAGAGACAAGATCAGATAATGATTAGTTTCAAGCGAATGGACGGGCTGTTACAAGCTCAACAACGCTGGCCGCTCGAGACACGAAAACGAACATCAATGGGGTAACGTACCTGTACAAATTCATAACCTGCAGTGAAAGATCTCCATTGAACTCGAGTGTATCAATGTCAATTTTGCTTCGTTTGCAGTTGTCTTCGGTAACCTCAGCCGCGGGATCTCTCGACACGACTGCTTTCAGATAATTCTTGTCGCTAATCACAGATGCAGCGCCTTGGCCACCGTTATTTCCGTAGCCCCACGAAACATTCATAGTGCAGCTGAAGAGCAAATCGGTAACTTCCAGTTGAAAGGAATCTGGTTCTTCTTCGGAGTCACCCTCGAGTAGATTGATGAGTATCTCGTCGAATTCAAAGTCGAAGCAAAAGAAATCTGTCAGATTGAGATGTAGTGGCCCGAGGATGGTTCCCTGCGTGGCCTCCAAGTCGGGCATGTTCAAAACAAGGTCACCAAAGAACCTGCGCATGGGATCGGTCTCGGTGGAGAGTTTTCTCTGCGGCGTGCGAAAAATCGAACGACCGAGGTGCTGTCGCAACACAACGTCATCGTGGTTCGATCGAAGACGCCGTCCATCAGCTAGAGCCAACGGCAACAAGATGGCCGCGACGGTCAAGGCCCAAGCTCCCTTCATGTCGACTCTGATACGGCTGGGATGAATTGTTGTCCTCGATCGCTTTGACCTTTTCAAAAACGAGCATTGTTTCTGGAGGCTTTGGACGTTGCGATCCTTGGCGATGAATTTCGCGCCGTCCGGCAATCCTTGTGTCACTGTAAGGTACGCACAGTTACTCAAACTTTAAAGCCTTCAGTGCTGTGTTTACATTGTTCTGTAGCAGGGGAAACACTGTGACTGAGTCACTGTTCGAAGAGCTCCCCTTTCCCGTGGACTGAGCAACTGCAACCTACCTCCACACGGCAAAGATTATGACACATCACGGCGCATAGATAAAGGTAGAAAAAGGAAGGAGACCAAGCACTTGCCACAGTGACACAACCTTACATTAAAGAAGCCTTACCAGCATGTTGCGATTACTACTGTTGCGATTCCTCTTCGCTGTTCCAATTCTTGCTTTTGTGTCAGAAGTGACAAGACCACAGACCGCTGCTACCCGACTTTTTTCGTCAGATAGTTGCGATGTGGCCGTGATCGGTGGGGGCTTTGGAGGTCTGTACACAGCCCTTGCTATTTCACGAGAGGCACAACAGAGGGGCAAGTCGATTGACGTTGCCTTGGTGGAACCAAGTGACTCGTTTGTCTTTCTACCTCTCTTGTACGATTTGACTGTGGGAACCGCCACTGAGGCGGAAGTCTGTCCACCTTATGCCGAACTTTTGGAAGGCACCTGTGTGCGTCTAATACAGGCATCCTTGGAGTCGATTGATAATTCGCAATCAGCAACATTAAAGCCTGCTTCACCCAAGGCTTCCACGGCACTGTCCTTTCGTTCTGCAGTGATTTCCGTGGGAGCCTCCCCAGAATCCATCATGAAGTCTGTCCCGGGAGCATTGGAACATGCCCAACCATTCTATACTGACAAGGACGCCAAGGCCACGCGAAGATTACTCTCTAGATTGAAACAACAGACTAACCCGCCACGGATTGCCATTGTGGGTGGAGGGTTTGGAGGTGTCGAATTGGCCGCCAGCGTCAAACGGAAAATCCGCAAAGCCTCCGTAACATTGCTCAGTCGAGGTGCTCCCATGGCGGGAACACGGGCAGAGACACTCATCGACAAGGCACTGGAGAAACTAGGTGTTGTTGTTGAACAGTGCTCTGTACAGGCCATTGATGCTGTTGCTGCTGATGATGATGGCAGAAGCAGTCAGGTGACAATCCAGAGAACGCAATGGGGTGACGACCAATCTCGACTCGATATGGATCCCTGGGATGCCGTCATGTGGACAGCGGGTTCAAGACCCACCAACCCCGTGTCAGGAGGATTGCCGGGACTTCGTAGGAGTGATTCTGGAAGACTGGCCATTGACTCTGCACTGCGATGCTTTGAATGCGAAGACGTACAAGTGCAAGGGAGCTCATCATCATCCGACGGACGCGTCAGCACCGTCAAGACGGTCAAATTTGAACAACCACCCATCTGGGCTCTGGGAGACTGTGCAGAGATTGTATCGGTGAACAGCGGGCCTGCAGTCCCCAAGACAGCACAAGCTGCCATGCAGCAGGCGGAGGTTGCAGCCCATAATGTCCTGGAGCAATTGGACGGCCAACGTTCTGCTTACAAAAAGTTCCAGTATCAGGACCTTGGAAGCATGCTCACACTTGGAGGACCCAACGGGGCTGTGATGGCACCCCGCGACGGAGCCTTTGCACCTGTCTTTGCTCCCCTTTTGGACACGGCTGGTGCAGCCTTTGCTCTCGCCGATAAGATGCTGGAAGCGACCGTGGGGAAGCCAGCCCTATTAGAGACCCTGGGTCTCAGTCTGGGAAGTTATGGTATTGCAGGGGCGGAATCTGGAAGTGCCCCTGGCACTCTAGCAGGAACTCTTACCGGGGCTGCTAGGCGAGCTGTCTACGCAGCTCGGATGCCTACCAATCGGCAACGTGCAGTCGCGGCAACTTCCGCTGCTATCACGACCGCTGTGTCTCTGGCCCAAGAAGCTACAGAGAAGAAGCAAGGATAGAAAATGTCGGTGGTGCCATGTCTACGGCACTGCACATCCGCGAAGGGCAACACTTTACTATTGCAAGAAACAGCTCATCATATGTTCATTAGGCAGTTAGTTCATCCAGGAAGAACCTTGGTTTGCTCAGAACAACAATCGTATCGCACACTTTCACTTGTAAAACATGTACTGTACAAAGTTTAAAACACGTGCGAAATTGCTAAGGTGTTCACGTTCTTGTTGGCAATGACACACAGACTGCTAGTGGTACCATATCAGTAGCTACATCATCCACGATCAACGTGGAGGGCGTTTGTGCCTTCAAGTTTCCTCCGTCACGGTTCCACTTGCGTTGGTTGATGGTCCATAGAGCAGCAAATCCAGAACCTCGGGCAAGCTGACTTCAACAAACCATGAAGTACAATCATTCGCTCCATAGGAAATGATCAATCGGGATGGATCATCTGCCTTGACTGTCATTCCAGACACAAAAGATATTTGGGGGCACTGGTAGGTGGTGTTGGCGACCTGAAGGACCTTCCAGGACGGGTGGGCCACAGAATAGTGTGCAGCTTGATTCTTTGGATTCGCAGGCAAGCAGAACTGTCCAGAGACGGCCACAGTACGGTAGGGCGGCGTTGGCTCAAAGGAATAAAACCGAGACACATAGTGATGGTCGGCCACAATTCCTCGCCCGTTCCACTTCGGTTCGGTTTGGCATGTGATATTCCAAGAAGCAAGTTGCCGGTTTTGAAGCGCGGGTCCTCAAAATGGACACAGCACGCACTACCTCGGTCCTCTGTGAATGGATAACCCCAAAATTGGAACCTGGCAGCAAAATCTACCTCTGCTCGGTTGAAATGGCTGGGGTTGGGAGAGGCGTGACTGCGCACGGTATCTTTGGGATTGGGCTCCCCTGCTAGCCGGGCTTTTTGGACTACATGTGGATCCAGAGGGCGTGTCTCCACCACTAGCTCATCCTTGGAATTCAAAAAGTAATGCACGCTTTTGGCATGCTTTTTATCTTCATCATGGCCAGAGCACAGGGTAACCTGCTGTCCCATCGAGACATGAAAAGAGTTTGGGTCAGTGTTCCCTTTCTCGCGAGGGTGCAGTCTAGGAACAATGTATTGATCCCTAGCTAGTACTGGTTTGGTGTTGTTGGTTGTGCTGTGAATCCACAACGGTGCCATGTGACAGAATGTCGCAATGTAGATTTGGCCCTTTAAGAGAAACAAGCGATAGTCTTCAAACTTCCCAAAAAACTTTCTAGATGGGCGAAGGGCCACGTCTTGTATGATGGACAAGTCAGCTCGTAGCAGTGCAAGTCCCAGATGTTCAACATGCTGCAAAGCATCCTTCCATATCCCACCCAACATTTGCTTGCTTGTGTTTGGATGGAAGCAGTTGTCGTAGGTGGACAGTCGATAGGATGCAAGATATGCAGGCGTCTCACCATTCGGCGTGGTTAGATTGGGTAGCATCTCTTTGGGGATCCGGATCAAACTAGGATTGTACTCAAACAGATAACGTCTGTTCGGATAGGAGTTCTGGGGATCTCTGAAGAACTGTTTGTATGTATCGTCCATTTCGTCGGCACCTTGGGACTTGGCTGCATCCAGAAGCTCTTGTGGCAGACGGTATTCATGGGGAACACTTGGAAGGTAGTGTGACGTTGCCTGCAGAATCTGAGGGAAGACTCTGTCGTATCTCCAGTATCGAGTTTTCTCGTCGTGACAAGACGAAGCCAGGCAAACTTGGCATTTGGGGTGTTGTTGGACGACGTGTTGTCCCGCCTGCTCAAATGTCATTGTGGGAGTTCTGGTGATAGTCTCCTGAACCAGCTTTCCGCATAGAACATGCCTGCCCTCTCTAATGACACGTGTGGTACGGCACCCACCGCAAACAGAGTCCAGCACAAAAGGCGCCTCGTCAATATCTCCACGTTTTTTGAGTGGGACATCATTTGTCATTGGAGCGCCCACAGCCACATCTCTAGTAGTAATTGCAAGGTCTCTGGAGATTCTGACGGCTTGCAGATCCAGCACGAGGCAGCCAATCAACAAGACACCGGCAAGGCTTCGACGGAAGCGGCAATTCGAAGTATCGACTGGTATGGTCCTTGCACTCATCTTTCCTCGCTTCAATGCATGCATCTCCAAAGTGATGGTGATTGCGGAACACAAACAAGAATTGTGGCTAGCGCGTCATGCTGGCAAATCACGGCAGAATCAAAGGCCGCATTCTCCCTCTAAAAGATCTATCCCTCTGGCTAGCCGGAGACGCTGCTCGATTGACGTGGGTTGTACCAGTATCCAAGTCGGGATTGGGATGAACCGAGGGCTCGAATGCTTGACGCCTGCTTGGATGCTTGCGACCCTGCGAAAAAATAAATGAAGTCATGGATCTTTTTGAAAAACCAGCGTGACAAAAGATCCTTCGTCTCTGTTCCAAGCTGACGTGTCGGAAGGAAAAATGAGTTATCAAGTCGTGTTTCCTTGCTTCAGGTGCACTGCGAACTGCGGACGTCTCGACGTCTCGACGCCTTTGTGCAAGAGGATCGGTGCCTTGCTGATGACTGTCACTCTGAGAGTGAAGCATCTCTGGAAGCACGGAAGCACACAACTTTTGAAACATCCAAGCACTCTCCTCAGCCACTCTTTCATCAAGATGCCTCGTCGCAGTATTATCAACCATCTTTCCGTGGGAAGCACCAAGGACAAACTGGCAGACATGATCATGATGTATGACGCTGTCGCGGCTGCTCTTGGTGCCACTCGTCAGATGGCTTTTACCAAAGACTTTGCCGATGGTAAGACGGCCAAAGCAGAAGACCTCTTGGCAGCTGCCTATGGAAGGACCGCTCCAGAACTATGGGTTCAGCTTCCGCATGATGAAAAGGAAGCCACAGCAGGGAATGGGACAATGGGACGCACATCGCTCTGGATTGCGAAAGCCGAGCTCAAGTCAAGGCTGTCTACGAGGCTGCCATGGCTCATGGTGCCAAAGACAATGGACCACCAGGGCCCCGTCCAGATTCAGGAGAGCATTACTACGCTGGGTATTTTATTGATTTATGTGGAAACAAAATGGAAGCCATCTATCTCCCCACCGAAGAGGAAATTAAAAAGATGGATGGTAAGGAAGAGGAAGAAGAGAGAGAGAGGCCAGCAAAAGTTTCCCGTGTCGAATGATTGGTGGGTGTAGTAAGGAGCCAGTGTGATCATAAGACTAGAATCTGATGGTTATATAGGTCCGTTTGTCTTTTAAAAGTTGGGCCGTTTACTTCTTCGTGTATGTGCTACCAAGAAGGCCAATGTCATGGAAGGACAACTGAGTGAGAGTCCGGACCTTCACTTTGGGGTGTCCCTGCTTGCGAGGGAAGGGTGAATGGGTCGTGGAGTACCTCATCTTCGGTTGCGCTTGCTCTTGAAACTCAACCCTGACAGCTCAGTGAAATTTCTGTTCTGAAGGCCCATTGTAAAGCATAGTTAAATTAAACTCCAAGCCAGCTTTCAGACTCGGCTCTCCAAAATGAGAAAATGAGCTTGAAAAAACTTTAAAAGAGTAACTAGCTAGACCCTGAGACTGGGCTAGCCGTAAGACAGAATGACAGGGTTGATCTGAACCCTTCAAGCAAAATGCTTCGAAACACCACCCCATTTGCCAACAATTTGTTCCATGTTGCCATATCGACTGTGAGAGGATGTTATCCACCTAGCCTGGAATGGCAACTAGCAAGAGCTTATGCTGAGACTCTTGGCTGAGTACTAGCTAGCTAGCTAGCTAGCTAGCTAGTATGTCATGCTTGAGGTACCAGCTCTAGTAGTACCAGGGCTGCCTCCAAATTTAAGAACCTTCTTATAAGTCAGTTTGGAGTGTTGCTGTTCTTTTGTGACGCAACGATGATGATGTGCCCAATTTTCTACCCCCTTTTGTCCAAAAGGGACATAAACCTACGCAGGAGAGCCGGCACTCAATACATTATCTCAGAGTCACTCGCCCAATCCGTCCCCCACCACAAATTCTCATCAAGACCAAAAAGGTTGAAGCGCTTTCGTGGAGAAGCTCACGCACTGTTCTTTTGCTTGGTGTGGCGTCGTGGTTTGGATGTTTGGATTCGATTCTCAGGCGGTCGTAGCGGGTTTGATTGGTGTCAGGGCTCACTGTTATTATAAGATCGAGAGCTGAGTGAAGCCAATACATGTATCGCATACGGTATCTGAGGCAACATAGAGAATAGTTCTTCAGGGAAGAATTTCAAAGCGGCTTTTTCTTGCTTGGCAACAACAGCCTCACTAAACCAAAACGCATCCATTCACCGGACAACAGACGACAATGAACACTGCTCGCTTCGCTTTGCGACAATCCCGGCAAGCCGCCTTGGTGCTGCGCGGTCGGGCGGCAGCAGCCACCCCCAATGCTGCTTGTTATCTCAGCCGTGGCTTGGCGGTGGCAGCTCCTGCTCCAACAATGCCAGAGCCTTGCCCCACTGAAAATGTGAACCATGTTCGTGATGCCATTAGCAAATTGCTGGCCAAAGATGAAGTAGAGATGAAACCCATCAGTCAGGAAGAGCTCCAAATGACCTTGAATAGGTTTGCGGTAAGTTATGATAATTGATTGACACAGTGGCGCAACTCTTCATAGAAATGACATTTTGTGGGTGGCTCAATTATTCTGTTCGTCTTTGTTTTATTTATTTCGCGTTTTCTCATCACGATAACAGAGCCTCTTTGAAGAAGCACAGGCGTGCATCAACGATTGCAAAGAGGCAAGAGCGGGCTCTTTGGAATATTATGAAGAGGCATTTACCGCTCAAAACTCGGTTGACGTTGCATTCAATGCCTACATTGACTTGCTCGATGATTTCAGAAGGGCCAGCGACGACCAAATCAAGCTCTTGTGCCAAGACCGCCTTGCCCTGGCATATTCCCTCAAGTGCTTGCGCCAGGAAGTGCATGAATTGTCTCAGCTAAAGCAAGCTGCTGCGTGATCCACGGACCTGCCTCATGGTTGGTTTGTCCTGAACATAAGGCTTTCTTCAAATGCAATGCAAGGCGACATGTAGAAAATGTAAAGAATAGAAATGATTTATCTAAAGTAGCCAGACAAGAAGAAATTGTGTAATAGTGGACAAGTGAATGAAGTAGCAGAAGGGAAGGGGGCTTGATAGACTCTACTCGCTCTTTTACCGGTACCAGAATTGTTGGCAAGGCGAAGTACACAAGCAGGGACAACCGGGTGCGAGCTATGACACTCGCACCAATCTGACTCTGCCCGTAGCAAACAACAGCGTGTTCCCCTCTTGAAGAGCACCCTTAGAATAAGCTGAATAAGTTTGGTCTGGCCGTGTGGCCAAGAACACGGCTTTCAAAAGGCAATGAATATGCTACCTTATTGCTTCAGCATAAACTAGTACCCAGTGTTACGGTGCCCATGAGGTTCGTTTCGTGGCATTGCCGTATAGTCCATTCGCACCGAACGGGTCAGATGTTTTCAGAAAGTTACCTGGAACCGTGGGATCTCGCACTTGGTGTTCCACAATGTCCTCCTCTGGGACAGTCGGCACAGTTTCCGTATTGTTGGAACGGCCCAAGCTGCGATCACTTCCCCCCATAGGTTCCTTGGGGCGGAATTCTTCTGATTGTGGTGCTACTACCGAATGAGCAGGAGATGCCGCGGCGACCGCAATCCTCCCCATTTCTTCCTGAGTCAATGACGCACCGGTCAGCATTCCCGACATGTCTGATATTGTCTTCTTTCGGGTACGCCGTCCACGGCCACCGCGTCGTGTAGCCATCTCCACCAATGCCTGCTGCTCATTCTGGTTATCTTGAAGCATCTTTTTGATAGCTTCAGATGTCACAACTTTCTTGTTGCCGTGTCTCATCACGAGGCCTGCATGATAGGGCCGATTCATAGCATTAATGCTCTCTTCCCGCTCATTCTTTGCCATGAGAACTTCCTTAGCATGCTGGGCCTGTTGCTCCTCAAATCGCTTCGACGCTTCCAAAACGGCAAGACGCATTTGACGGTGGGCACGATACAGCTTCCGGTTGACTTGAAGGGCCGATTTCGACTCGTCTCGCACCAACGCGTCGAATTCCTTCTTGTCGTGATTGTGCTCTGGCAACATCATAGCACGTCGAGAATCCTGCTGGATTATACCTTCCTTCTCTTTCTCGGCTGCTTCCTTCTCCTGCATTTCTTTGTCCTTGTCGTCGACAGAGCGAGAACGACGGCGAATGTACAAAGTAGGCGGCTTGGAAGGTAAACCAGGGACTGCAATACTTTCAATGTTGTTGAGATTCAAGTCCACCTGGCGACGTCCCGACTGGGGTGTGATGTAATCCGCAGCTCCACGTGTTGGAGTCTGAGGAGGTGTCAAATTTCTCAACTGACGAATGGTGTCTTCATCGGCCTCGTCATCGTCCATGGAAAGCGGAGAGTCCAACTCATCAGGGGAGCCGTCCATTGCTTTGGCGGGCGAAACAGGGGCAGAGTGCGGTTTGACTACGGGAGACTCGCTGCGTGGCGTGATACTCCTCCTGATAGGCGGAAGAGCCGGCATTATCGGAATGGAAACTGGCGGCGCTGGTGCGGGTACAATCGTGCCATCAGCATTCACCACATCACCGCTGGGCAACACAATCATATTGTCATCCTCCTTGGATGGTTCCGGGGAGGTTGTCGACTCCTTGAATCCCTGCTCTCCTTCCTTCACGGTGAGCAACTTCGCACTCTGCAACCTGGACATGCTATTTTCCAAGGGGTCCACCAAATCTGCTCCCGACACGGCCAGGAGCTTGGAGCCATTCAGCCTCGAGGACATACTCAATTCCATCGGATCAATCGGTGCGGCCTCTGTGCTCTGTCCCTTCATCAAGAGCAAAAAGTCGTCGTACGTGATTCGCGCGTTTGGGCATTTTGCTTGTTCCATGCTGTCAGCCCACATCCCCTCCAGGGCTTCTTCGCTCAGAAGATCATCGTTTCCCATGAGCTCCATAATATCATCCAATGTGATGTACTAAATATAAAGACGGAACAAAAGACGATTAGATTCTATTCAGCTTCCAACACCAATAACGACAGCCCCACAAGAAGCAACCATAAACTTACCCCTTTGTGATCAATGTCAAGACGTTCAAAAGCCAAACGCAGGTTCCTATCGTCGACCTGACACTGCGAGAGACCCGCCGCAATAAACTCGTGCCAGTGAATACGTGTCTCAGTTTTCTTGACACGCATGGCATTGAAAATATCCTCGACTTCCTCTTCGGTCAATGCGCCAAGAGATCCCTGGCCAGCATTTGTCATCAACACTTCTTTGAGAGCGGCGAGAGAAATCTCGCCAGACCCATCCGTGTCGAGCTTCTCGAATTCCTTTCGAAGATCTTTGATTTGGTCGGGGAGCAGCGTGAAACTCAACACTTCGCAAAGCAGTTTTCGCATATCCGAGAACTCCTTGAACGACACCAACGCCTTGACAACGTTGGGGTTGAGGATATTGTCGCCTTCCTTCTTGCTCCTATTGGCCCACTCCATGAGCCACCGGTGTTTCTGCGCGTCTCTCGCCGTGGGACGGAGCTTGGGATCAATCACGAGCAGCGTTTTGATAAAATCACGAGCCAGACTGCTGACGCCGGCCCACACGTCCTCGGGTTCAAAATAGAATTGTCCCTTGAGAATGTTGGCACGGACAGTCATGAGGGGTTCTGGTCCTCCGCATCCACCAAATGGCGGATCCCCACTGAGAAGCAAAAAGGTAATGACACCAATCGCCCAAATATCGCAGCGCTCGTCGTAACACCCGCGAATGACTTCTGGTGCCACCGTGTAGGGCGTGCCCACAGCCTCATGTTGTTGCTCTCCGTAACGGAAATGCTTGCTGAGACCGAAATCAATCATCTTAAGCTCGGAATCCTGGGAGGTGGACGAAAATAGGAAGCTACGAAATCGATACGAAGCAAAACGAAATGTGTGAGCAACCAAAGTCATTCTTTCTGTAGATTCTTGACCAGAACATGTTGGCGCACTCACTTCTCTAGCTTCAAGTCGCGGTGAATAATTCCTTTCGAATGCAGGTAACGGACCGCATTGAGCATGTTTTTGACGAGGCGGGCACACTCGGATTCCGTGTAGTGATAGTCAGGTTGCTCATCGAGACGATCAAAGAGCTCTCCACCCAAACAGAGCTCCTGCACCAAGTAGATTTCGGAATGACTTTCGTACACTTCCTCCAAGCGAACTAAAGAATAATATCGTGGAGGAAATAATAGAAAGACAATCCAAATTCATCAGAAATGAATTGTCATGTGTGCGCTGTTCTCCTGCATCGCATCAGTTGTCGCTGCTTACCGATATTGGGGTGATCCAACTGACACATGATAAAGATCTCTTCACGGAGCTGCTTGAGGCCCTCCGCAGTATCCACTAGACCCAAATCCAGACACTTGACCGCGTACTGGACACCCGTGGCTTTGTGAGTGACCAAACGCACCAGACCGGAAATGCCCGAGCCCAACACCGGTCCAGAGTGCACGCCTTCGTAGACTTCCTCAATGGGCTTTCCAAAGGGCACTTCAATGTGAACCACGTTCTGGCCGAGGTCTCCATTCTCACGACGGAGCTCAATCATCTCGTCCAGACCAACGGCACTGGTGGAGTGCATTAGCTTTTTCGGGTTTTTCTTGCTGTCCGACTTTCCCGAAGCACTCGACCGGACAGACCCATTCGACGACTGGTCATCTCCGGTAGATGCATAGCTCGACAAACGAGGACGACCTCCGGACGTGTCGGACTTGACGGTGGACGCAGAGTTGCCATTTTGCTGCTTCACCGACGACTCGGCCGCGACAGGTTGCTTCTTGGCGGCTCCCGCTTCAGGCTCTGCGACAGCGGATTTTTTAGATTTTTTATGTTTTTTTTTCCCGGTTATTTTGGCAACGAATTTTTTCATCATGGTAGCGAGACAGGGTAATGGAGATAATGGAGTAAGAGAGAGGAGGAGGAGGTTGTTGTTGTAGTTGTTGTTATGAGCAGAGAGGAGAGACAAGAGAGGAAAGTGCAAAGCAAGAAGTCAAGCAGCCAACTTGTGAGTGAGGCTACCAGCAGACTAACAAGGTACGACTGTAGAAAAACCGCAGCAGCGATCGAAAGGGAACCCTCGACCCCACGCTGCCTGTGATACAGTGAAACAAGTCAAGTCCAGCAAGCAAGACACTTACGTGACGCCAGCGTGGCGGGGGAAGCCTCCGGGTCCTTTCCGGCAGTGTTGACAGTTTGTTCTTTACTAGCGCCGCAACCCATGGTGAACTTTGTCTAGTTGTCGTCTGGTGGTGGTTTGCTTCCTTGGATTCCTTCTGTTTTGTTCATAAAAGGCAACTCTACGTTGTCGTTCTTATTACACTCTCTCCTTTTGTTTTATGAAAGAGAGACAGTGGGTGTTGTTGTGATGGTATCGGCGGGTCTCGCAGTGGAAGGGTCTGGTTGCTCTGTTATTTTAGTCGATGTCAACAGCTCGAGAGATGTTGTGAGCCGTGTCTTTCTTGGCCGAGGACAAGCGGTGTTGAAGAAACAATTTTGCACACGACTAGCTAGATGAAAATGCGTTTTTCCTGTAAATTACCCTTGAACCTTTGTGTATAAATTTTAATTCAGGGTTGTTTTTAGAGTATTTCTGAGATAATTCACAATTTTCTATTACTTCGGACAAAGAACTTAACGGAACCTTTTCGAAGATTGGGTTCTCATTGAACCTTGCGGGAAAACCCTTTTGGCATTTACATTTTCCCAAAGGTAAAGGGTGCTCCGAAAAGCCCATTCCCCGCAACGCTGTGCTGCCATCCTTGCCAGTGCAGTTTTTCCGAGCAAAAATTGGCACTTCGCGCACTTCGCGTTCCACTCCATTCCATCTATCTCTGTCTCACCTATGCGTACTCGGCAGGTTGCGGTGTTGTCGGAGTTATAAAGGTCCCAAGCTTCACAAGTAAAGTAACACAGGTCTTGAAAAGGCTGCTCCAGCAACCAAAAAGAGAAATTGGATCATGGCTGTCCGCCTCAATTCACAGATTGCCAAAGTGGTGCTGATGGTGGCGCTCCTGTTGGTGTCTCTGCAAGGTTTTGTCTGGCACCGCTTATTGCAGAGTCATCATGATCAAGGTCACGAACACCCCATGCTGGCAGGGGCGAGAGGTCTTTCTTCCAGACGAGAAACTATTATTGGATCACAAGAAGACGTTCGTGAGAACAACAACAATCAACAGCAGCAGCAATCGCGAAATCGTCTTCCAGATGAACGGCGACTGCACAGACGACGACAGCCCAGCATAGAGAAACAGAAACTGTCATTGAATATTCATCCTCCCAAAGTGGCCACAGCCAGGACCGTTTCACCCTACTTGAAACACCCGCTGTTTGAGGGAAAAGAACGACTGCTGACCATTCTGCATGAAGCCCATTTTTTCAATGACTCGGCTGCCGAATTTTTCCAGGACGATGCTCGAGTGGAAGCACTGGCCAAACAATTGCCAAGTTGGGAAACAGTGACCAATCGTCTGGGAGGAGAATCTCCCGTCATTGAAGGCTTGGAGACTTGTGAAACATATCAGAAACTGGTGCCTCCCATAGATCGCTTCCTCGGAGTGGCGGGGCTATTTGCCACAGGCACCAACCTACTGGCATCCTTGCTGGTGGCCAATTGTCAGAACGATGAACGCATCCGAGCTGGCTTGGGGGCCGGTGTCCGATGGCAAGTCAATTGGGGAAAACATAGTCCCGCACGGTACCGCATGGAAAACAAAATTGATCAAAAACTCAAAAATGAAATCTTTTTACCCGTTGTTTCCATCCGACACCCCTACAGTTGGATGCAAAGTTTATGCCGACAACGATACTCCACGCATTGGTTCCATAATGCCAAAGAGCATTGTCCGAACTTGGTACCCAATGACATTGACCGAAAATGGTTCAAATTTGTACAAAAATATGGAAAGCGGGGAGTCAAAAGCTTGTACAACGATCCATGGCTCAGTGACAATTTGCTCGACACGGCCAATTTTACACTGGACAGCGAGGTGGTTCCGGTCCGAGTTCGATACAAGTCTGGTACTCTCTATCACGACAGCTTGCCGGATATGTACAATTCGTGGTATCACGAATATCTGGACGCCGATTTCCCTCGTCTGGTGGTGCGCCTGGAAGACCTCGTGTTCCACGCCAAGGAAGTGGTAACCAAGGTTTGTACCTGCATGGGAGGGTCCGTCCGGGACGACTTTAATTACATTACGGAAACGGCCAAAGTGGGAGACGAGCACATTCATGGGAAACAGGAAGACAGGACGAATATGATCAAAACCTTTACCAAGTGGCATGCAGAAAACAGAACGAAAAACATGACGTCAGAAGATGTGGCGTATGCCAAGGAGAGTCTCGATGCCGATCTGCTCAAAATGTTTCAGTACAGCCATCCGTCCAAGGAAAATCCATAGATAGCCGACAGACAGACAATGATGCAGAATGAATCAAATGAGAGCGTCTCGGTCGCACAGGTTGACTCTCCAACTGTTCGATCGACCCGGAGACTCCATCTTTGTCAGCTTGAATATCGTTTTCAGAGACTGAAACGGAGAGCAAAGCGAGTTGAGTCGTGCGACAAACGCCCCCAGAGGGCTTGCAGAAAGGCACATCCGATTGAACTCTTCAGGGACAGGTGCTGCAATCTGTCAGAGCGTGCCACTGCAAAGATCATACGGTCTTGATCAATGATCAGCTAATTTACTCGTGTAACTATGTAACATGGAAAGTTGACTTTCAATTCTTTCTCGGCTTTGGTTTGGCGTCATTAGATTTCAATTTCCATGGGAACTTCGGTGAATGCAATTGTCTCTCGCTTTGTCAGGAAGCGACGCCTCGAATTGCTGGAACCTGAACTACTTGTACCTACCGTCGTCTTTGTCGACAGTCTCATGGTGGGTTCGTGCGCATTGGTCGACAATTCAGAGTCGAACAAGTAATCCACTGCGTAACCCATAGATGAATAAGACGTGTTCAGACGAAGCTCAGTCTGCGCTGTATCAAAGGCCTTCTGAACGCTGCTAGTAGTGGCCTTGTTAGGCTTGCTACCGCCATAACTCTCCGAGACAAACTCCATCTGGTGCTGCTTGCTACCGGTGATTGCAAGAAGCATGTCATTGGAAATCTTCTCGTGATGGATTTCTGCGGATAATTCTGGGGACCCGCAAAATGCGAGGACGGACGTTGACTTGGGGCGACTGCTGATCAAATCCAGAGAATGATCTTCGATGAGAGACCCGAAGTCTGGGCGTTCGAAATGAATGAACTCGCCCAGCCTTGTTTCTGCAAGCTCGTTCATGAGAAGCTGGCATTGAACCGTGTCTTTCTCTGTGACATAGACTGAGATCTGGCACACCGTCCTCGCATTCTCTTCACCCCATTGCGAAACCAGCTTTCTCCAAATCTGATCCACATCAGGAAGCACTTGAGACACGAGAGAAGCAGACCTTGTCACCCACACCATGTGCAGCTTCTCCAGCGCGTTGAAACCATCGTCGGCAGCATAGGTTCGCCATGACGTGTAGCGGGGTTTCACGGTCATGTCCCAAAGACGAACAGTCATGTAGCCAGTCAGTAGACAGTACAGAAGGATTTCGGTGGCGCTGAGCGTTCCATTCTCACTGTAAACCAAGAACCAGTACCAATCTGCAAAGGGGCTCACAACACAGAGGACAGTATCAACATAGGCAAAGATGTGGTTGGAGTCCCAAATGAAGATTGCCACCAAGGCAAAGAGCAACTGAAACAACGCAGTCAAGGCTTCCAGCGTCTCGATCATGCCAAAGCGGAGATCGAAATTGACAGTGTTCCAACTTATTGTCAACCTAGATGCAGGAAAAGCGATATGTGAGCGGCATGCTGCCACAATGATGGGCGTTGTGGTGGGTGCTGGCAAATTCCTGGACTTACCCGAGGAGGGACACACCAAAGACAGGCATGATGGACAGAATCACAGTGCAGTATATGGAGCGGGTGGCTTCCGATGTCTTTTTCCTGATGTCTTTCATGTTTCGACGAAGTTCTCCCCATCGCCTGAGCTCTGAATGCTTTGCAAACACATCGCGGATGGAGTCTGACAAGCTTGCTTTCTCCTGCTGATGACGCTGACTACAAGGGTGTGAGAGCTTGGACGCTAGGGATCCTTTGCGGGGCTGAAGTGCTCTTTGAACCTGAATCATCTTATCCTGCTGTTCCTCCAGGACACGCAAGTAGGTGGCAGGGTCCAGCTTCAGCAGCTGACGGACATGCTGCTTGAACAAGGACAAGATAGGAACTATTCCTGTTCCAGAGCCGATTGCCAGTGCATGGGAGTAGTCTGATGTCTTGGCTAGACCTGTGCCGTAAGGCCCCATGACCTCGAACTCGATCTGCCGTGCCTCTTGAGCTATCTCGTTTTCTTCCTGTAGGATCTCCCATAGCTTGTTCGTCCACGACCTGTCTTTGTAGACTTCGATGTAGAACTCCAGGAATTCTGATGCGGGGGAGGATGCCACAGAAAATGGATGCCAATGAATATCAATGTCTTTCAACCTTAAGAAAGCGGATTGTCCTGGCTTGAAGTTGAACAAAGCTGGACGTCGAAGGCGGAGGATGATCATCTTGCCACTATCCTTTCTTCCCGTGACAACAGATGAGGCGACGAGCCGAGCCTTATACTTATGGTTTAGGTGCATAGCAGCACGATCGCAAAAGTAGAACAGCAGGGTTGCCGAAAACCACTTGAACGTTTGGCTTCTCTGCCTCGCCTTGTTTCTCTGCACAACATCAAGTGTATGTGCCACCGTTAGAAAGTATAGAATGAAGACAAGATGATGGATCCTGCAGAAAGGAAAAGCATGCAGAAGGATGAGTATATGGGGAGTGCAGCTGCAATCCTCTGCTTTCTGCACTTACCCGTAGAAGACTTCGTACGGAATATAATGCCGGAAATAGGAAGTGCCGCCAATGATGAGGAGCATTCCAAGAATGACATAGCCGGTGATCATGATCTCGTCTGTGAACTTGGAGCAGAACTTCTGGTCTCCGTCGGAACATAGTAGCCCAAAGAAGGCAAAGAAGAACACAGTCGCAAGGAAGACAATGCCAACCATAGTGTACCCAAGATGAATGTGAATCCGGACCGAACGATTAAGCGGGATAAACCTGTTGACAAACGACCCGGATAAAGCAGATATGCTGTATCTTGACATGGTTAATGGGATAAGCGCCATCTGAAAGAGGATGGCATGCATCGAACCAAACTCAAGAGGGGGGACAAGGCGTTTCCACCAGTACCGAGGAGCGCCCTCTGGGACGGTGTCTTCCTGTTCTTGGAACTTTGTGAGCGCAAAATGTGTCCAGATAATCATGGTACACATGAAGTGAACCCAGAAGAACACAACTAGTTTACGCTCAGCAAAAAGGAACGTGAAAATGCGATAGCAACGTCCCAAGTTGAGGTATGATCTGGCTCTCGCAAAGAGTTCCTGCTCGGCATCCTTGGACTCGACAGAGATTGATTCCGTGTTGGAAAAGCTGGATCTATCCTCTTCTAGAAGTTTGGTGCCTTCCATGGTTTCCTTTGGCTGGTGATCAGAAATGAATCCAACTAGATCTCTTGCTGCGCAACAGTCAGCTCTCTTCCAGTTTCGACTGTTTCTTCAGTCCTCGAGGAGCTTGAAACTTAAAATTGTGAGAGGAAAGAAAGGTTTTGTTTTCGGCACCAGAAACCCGGGATTCGAAGTCCCGCTTGTGTGGGATACTGTTTTGGCAGCTGGGGTGTTGCCGTACCAACACCTTGCTTGTTGCAAGCTGTCGCAAGTAAGTATGCATGGGGTATTGTTGATAGCTAAAAGGAAGCTTTTGGTACCAGGTACCGTACCATAGTGGTGCTTCAATCGGAGAAGAAGCTTGAAGCTTGGTACAGTTTGGTTGGCAGGAATCTGTCCATCAAACTGGCCACTGGTATGTGCACTGGTTTTGAAACGTATGGTTGAATCCAAGGTAGTTTGACGGGATCAATTCGAAGATATTGAAGATTGAGCCCTGAGATAGGTTAGACAATGTTGATATTAGCGCTGAAGGCAGAGGCATGAATGTTACAGGCTGCTTCGAATTCAATGCTTGTGTTACCAGTGGATCCACAACATTTTTGCGTTTCCACCCACCCAATTGGCAAGACTCGATTCCCCCGAGATGATGCGGGAGGATTACTGTTTTGGTCTTCTTACTACTAATTTGTTATTAAAAATCCCGTTGGGTATGAACTGGAATGATCCCGCAACTTGCTACCCATTGGTTGTGTCCTTGGTTCGCTTCGGTGCTCGAGCCGTGGTGTGCCCCATGCCCCGCCATGCATGCCAGGAACTGGTGGGTGAGATCCTGCAGATCCCCAAGGTCGCCACATACGATCTTGCAGATCCCCTGTAGCTAGCTATCTCCCGCCAAGCCTCAAACTACAGTCTACTCTTGCGAATACTGCTGGTAAGCTGGCTATCCAGCTGAGGCTCGAGTAGCAAGCCCGTGGCTTCGTCTTGTAACCCAAGAAACTTTATTTGCCCTTGCCCTTGCTATGCATATATTGGTGTGCAAAAGATTCAAAGATCCTTGGGGCTTTGAAACGTATCCTTCGAAGAGCAGACTGGGTGACAGCAGCCAGCAGTGGCGGTCTTGCGAAGTCAACAACCTCCCCCAAGAGATACATCAGGTTCAAAAATCTTGAAAGCTGGCCAGAAGAGGAACTGTTACCGGTAGCTAGCTAAGCGCGGCAGCAGTTCAAAGATCGGTCTACCTCCTTTAGTCTATGAGAATCTGGTCGCTTCGATTACTGTACCGTACTTACTCTGTACCGTACAGCTCTCTGTACCGGCCTCCACTGGAGCAGTCACCACGTCCAGTCTGTGAATAATACTGAACGTGTCTCAGTTGCTTGGTTCGCGGCAAACAAGTCAAACCCAAACATCAAGCTGCAGTACCGCACGGGCAGCAAGCGACCATGCTGCCCAGCGTCATGGTCGAATTTCCATTGTATTTTCGTAGACAACTGAAACTGCTGCGGCGCAAACTCGTTCAAATTCTTTTTCTAATTCACAAAACACATCATGAGCCTCGTCTATAGTTGTCGTGCTTATCTGTAGTATCAGTATCGTATCGTCATATTGGTGTCGGTGTCGAGTCATCTGACTGCGGGTATGGCACTTCTTCGAGAATAACGCAGGCTTTGCGGATGCACCGGGTAGAGAAAAACAGAACATCACGATCGCCACCACCTGGCCTCTCCTTTTCTGCGACGAGCTGTTGAAGCAGTACCTCCTTGATGAAGGAAAGTGCGTCTTCTTCAAACACGTGGATTGCGGACTCGAGCGCTCGACCAACATTCAGTCGGACGTTGGGTACTTTGTCATTGGCCAAAGATAGCGCAATTACTGCAAATTCACGCATTGGTGAATCTGCTAATCTCTTCCCGCCAACTTCCTCTCCCGCCCATTTGGCAGGACAAGCGCCACTGAGAAGAATGGCCTCGATCATTTTCAGGCTCAGAAGACGCTGCTTTGCACTCGGATGCACGGCACACTTTCTCAGATGAGGGACCACTATCGATGTGATCCATTCCGCGCCAACGCCCTCCCCGTGGCTGCCAAGAGTACTGCCACCTAAACAGAGACACTCTGCCGCTGTCTTTCGAACTGCGTCGACATGATCTTCCATTAGCCGAACGCATAGCTGCGAGATCTCTCGTCGAGTTTCAATGTTTCGAGTGCAGCCCAGCAGCGCCGGAACAATCTCCACCGCACTTTGTCGCACACGCCATTGCTTGCTGTTACCAAGTTCTGACAGCGTGGGAAGGAGACGAAGAACTTGTGCCTCTGATAAAACTGGCAAGAAGACAGGGTCTTTTCGTTCCCTGCTAGATAGAGAGACACCGTGCGACGACACCGACATGTCGTCCTCGGATGCAACTGACATCTGCCTTGATCGCATTTCACGCACCGTTCCTCTGGAAGCGTTTGTGACAGCTCGGAGTGCCGAACTGGTCACCTCGGGATCCGTATCATGGAGAAGGCTTTGTACAAGAGGAATGAGAACATCATCTACATGTTTCTTCAATTGGCTTGAACCACCAGCCTCTGCGGATACTTCGTTTCCCGACGCAGACATCTCTTCAAGACTTTGGAGTCCGACCAAAAGCGTCAGCAGTTCACCCGCTGCCGTAGCCAGAGAAACCCGCACGCTCGAATCTGGGTCCTTTTGTAACATCAGCGCAGCCGGCAGCAATGCCTCAAGAACGCTAAAGTCGGAGACTGGTGCATTCCCATTGGTGGACGACATCAAAACGATTTCAGACAATCGAGGGACGCAGACCACAGCTTCGCACCGGACTCGCTCATCTGTATCGGTCAATAGAGCAAGCAAGACGTCGATGATGACACTCGACCAGTGATCACCCAAAGCGTTGCATAGCCTGTCACACTGAGCTGCGACGGCCAGTCGAACTGATGGCGCTCGATCCTCAGCCAAGCGCGTTGCAACCGGCAGAAGCTTGCACTGCAGGAGATACACGTCCGCAAAAACTGGGTCACTTCTGTTTGGCAGTCGTCGAAGAAATCGACTGCCTTGGCTAGCATCACCCAGAAACGCGTTCGGCAGATGTTCCGCTAGGTGCCAAGTGAGTGTCATTGCCGCAGACCGTAGTTGAGGTTCTGGATCAGTCATTGCACGTTCGCACATCAAAATCAGCCATGGAACCGCGCGCTGGTCAAAGACCAATTCTGCGATTTCATGTAGAACAGTAGCAGTGGACTTTCGAACGATAACCTCCGCATCGTGCAAAGCTCTTGTGATCACTCCTCGTAACTGTGGGAAAGTAGTGAGTATGTTATTATTCACAAAGCCATAGAAGAAGAAAACAGTCTACATATGTATACACTCACCTGAAGCTGATGAGGGAAATCGAGATGACCCCACAGAACCGGACCTAGAGAACAGGCCGTAATTCTGGCACTTGTGCTTCTACTAGCAGCTAGACGGTGCACCACAGATAGGAACCGATTCCCTGCATGTAGTCGATGCACGTCCGCTCCGTCAAGCTTCGCTCTGCCTCCAAAGCGCCGCCGTAGCTCTTTCATGAGTTCCAGGTCGACACTGTTGCCGTCCGGTGACGAAACACTCTCGCACTCGGGACTTCTCATGATCGAACAATTCAAAACAATCAGCTTCAGCAAACTTCCAGCGCTGCCCAGATCAGTAATTGGGCCAGCCTCTTCGCCGGCAGTGGCCGAAACAGCCTCTTCCTCTGACAATTCCATCTCCTTGTCGATATCCAAAACATCACATAGGAAAGCAATGAGCTCGCCGCGAATCAAGGCAGCCGGAGGACTTGTGGGATCAACGAGAAAGGTTCGTGTCCGATGCAGTATATCCCCAATTTGCAAAAGCGGCTTGTCGTGTAAAATGGTGGAGTCAGCCCGTGGACCAGACTGCATTCCTGGGACCATTGGCTGCCTTCTGTTTTGAGTCTCTGGCGTTGGCACTCCCTTCTTCCGAACCCGGGCACCACCAGGTCCAATCCCATACTCTGGGGATTCTTTTTTTGCTTGCATCGCAGGATCAAGATTCTTCTTGACGAAATCGAGAAGGATTTTTGAAACACTTCGAGCCGCATCCGCAAAGTCCTTTGCCGTGTGGTGATATATACTCACACTGGGAGCACTCGTCCGTTTTGGCGACGCTGACAGATCCGCGCTACTACCATCATCCTGTGGATTCTCCTGTGTCCCCGCCAGAGCAAACAATCTCGCAGATTCGCGCTCCAGACCCAGTACAAACAAATTCAGAATCCAAATTAATTTCTCCGCGGCTCTCTCCACCGTCTCTTCGTTCTTATTCTTGTGCTCCGCCACTGCCAGAAATCTTTCTCGGATCAGACTGGTGTACGCGTCTATCCTTAGATCCGATGCAATCAAAGGTCTTCCTTGTGCATCTTCTTTATGGTGTCGATGTCGCCCAACGCCAGCATGGCGACCCTCCTTGCCGCCTCTTGTGTTTTCGTGAGCAGCCGGGGGCTGGTTGAGATCGCTGGCACCATTGCTGATGATTCCAAAACCGGACCCGCGGATCAGTCGGCCCATTTCTTCTCTTGCCGAACGTAGTGCGTCGTCACTGATCAGTCGTAGCACCAGTTGCAGCGGTCGCTGGCTTTGGCGCAGCTCATCGATTGTCTCAAAGTGCGTGAGGTTTTTTGTCTCCACACTTCCAACTTTTACAATGAGAGATCCAACTTTTGCTCCTGCTTTTTTCGCGGGGCCTCCAGCCAAGACAGTCCTAACGACAGTCCTTTCCAAGACATTCTCCACTGTGAGACCCAACATCTCCCGCTCAATTTGGACGGTGTATTCTCCAGGATTTTGATTCGTAGTGGCGTTTCCTGTACGAGTTCCCGCGTTTTCGGATGCAGGCAATTTGGCATTCTTTGAGTTTTTCCGAAAGACATTGAATCCACTAGCACCAGGCATTTTCACGTTCATGATGCTCCCTGGGCTACCAATGCCGCTCATGAAACTTGAGCCGGTTGAACTATGAGAGTTCCTTCTGACTGTCGACAGCATGGAAGAAAAGACGGAGCTAGCACTACTGCCCAGCTTGGAGGGAGAGAGAGGCGTCCTCGTACTGGCGGCCACCGCCCGTTCGGGAGTCCCTGGTTTCGGAGGGCCCTCGCTTTCACCCTTGGATCCAGCATGGTCGTTCTCTTGATATTCAATCCTACCTTGACAAGCACGAAAGAATTCAATTGTCACATCTCCCCTTGCAGATGTGCAAGGAGGAAGAAGGTCGGGAACCACAACAGGTCTTTCTGGTTCGTCAAAGAAATCCTGTTCGTTTGATTCGCCCGGTACTACGGCCTCAGGGGAAGCCATTCCACTCGCTTCTAGCAGAGCATTTTCGTCCTTGAGACTGGGGTCATCAGGCGCTTCAGATGGAACCTCTAAAACTTTGTCTTCCAAGGATGATCGTTGTTTGTTGTGTTGAGGCGGAAGAAGCGAAGCATGTGGTACTTTGGGCAACATGGCAACCATACTCGTGTAAGCGCCTTCAATGGTTCTCCACAGAGACAACAAGGAATTGGCAGCTTCCTCGGCCAACACTACATCGGGGTCCTCTTCCTCTGTGCCCCCCGCACTGGTGTTTCCCAATGTTACACCACTTCCTTTTTCGACGTTGCCGTCATCGTCAATAATGGCCACAGTTGGTCGAAGTTCTGCGCCGGTTGGATAATCGTCTGTTGCACGGTAATAAGCCAACATGAGCATATGCTGCAAGAAAGCATCATTGCCACCATTTGCTAATCGTTCCAAAAAGGGATATCTGGTTGTCGGCGGTGCTGTATTTTTTCCATTTTTTCCTCCCTCGTCAGTTTCCTCCACAACATTATCACAACACAATCCCAACAACTGTTCTTTGACCAACTCCAGCTTTACCGGGACGATTGGTTTGGGCTTGGGTGGAGCCTGAAGTAGAATATTAGCGTTTTGATTATTGAGAGGATTGTTGTGAGCAGCTGCAGAATTGGACCCCCTGTTAGCACCCCTAACAAACGTCTGAGCGACTGCACGTGCGGCTTGAGCCGCTGCGGATGGAGAAGTATTGTTGGCCGTGGCGGCTGCCGCCACAGCGGCTAAGGCGACGGCAGCGCGAGAACTTACATCCTCCTCTTCGTGTCGGGGTTGTCGCTTTCGCGGCGTTGCGTCCCTGGGCTTTCCTTTTACAGCTGATCTGGAAGATTTTTGTTGCAATACTGCAGCGGGAGGGGGCGCTGCTGTCGTCGATGGCGCTGGTGGAAGCTCCTTTACCAAGGTTGCAGAGGGCGTTACAGTTGGAGCCACTCGATTGTTTTGGGAGCCGCCATTGACAGTATTGTTTGGTTTGCTGCTTGGCCCATTATTATTATTGAGTGGAATGGGCGAAGGAGCGGGAGCCAGGGGCGCTTGACCAGATTCTTCTTCATCATTCCATGCCTCGGCTTCGCCGTTTTCCGAATCAGACGAGTCTTCGTCTTCGTCATTCAAATCCACTTCCTGCAGATTGTCAACTGGAGCCTTATTTGTCGCGTCCCCTGGCATGGCGTCGCGAATTGTCGAGGCACCCCAATGCCTTTTCCAAAATTCAACAAGAGATTGTTCTCACGTGAATGGGCCTTCCAAATCGAGACAGCACAAGGAGCCTGTAGCAATGCTTTTTGGGGTGGTTGACCGAAAAAGATATCGCCTGGATCGGCTTTCTTCCTCTCCAGATTCGCTTCGCTCTCTGCTAGCTAGTAGCCAGCAGGACACCAACAGAAGCAGTTTAGAGCGATGGATAAACTGTCAGTAGACCAAGTCCTTCTCTTCAGCTCTATCTCGTCTTGTCCAACACGTATGAATGACTTGAGATGATTACACGACGTGAAGACCAAGAAACAGTGAGGGATTGGGAGCGCCATTGCGTGCCTCGTGCCTTGTGTCCAACATGAGCCAGCAGAGCCAAATCAACAGCCCAATGCCAAAGACACGAAAAAGATGTACTAGACTATTACTAAAAAAGAAACTCCCACCCTCGATGCTTTACTTGTTGCTTCTCTCCAGCATGCCTCTTCAGTTTTAAAGTTGTTGGGTTGAGTATCCACTGTCGACACAGCCTACCTTCTCGTGGCACTCGTATATTGTTGGTTTGTACTCTTTTCCCCACAGTTGACGTATGCAAAACTGGCACTCACATTTTGGATTCAAATCGCAACTTCAGGTTTTGATCTGTAATCTCCGCGATGGAAGCACGGAGACGACCACCACCAAAGCCTCTCATGCCGACTGTGAGATGACAACCAAGCACTGAACCTCTGCTGGTGCAACTCGCAAGTAAGCTCCGTCTATACCAATAGGACACCTGCGTCGAGTTACACCACTGCAGGCAGCCAACAAACATGGCTTCTTACGCCGAGATAGAGCGGGCTTTCATTGCTGTAGCCCACAAGGATTTCGTCTTGGGAGAGTGGATTCCACTCTCCTATTGGACTCACAAAGTATGCTTGAAGCTTGCAGATGAACTGCCACTCAAGATATCAAGACTCAGAGATAGCCTTACCAAAATGAATGCTGTCAATAAACCATTTGCCAGCAGTGAAGACCAAGTCAAATATGGTGATATCATTCGGATTCACAAGACAGACCGACGCATTCTAGTTGGATCAAAACTCAAGAGGATACACTTTCTTTGTGTTGAAACTGATAATACAGGATGTGAGAAGTTTTCAAATGAGAAACAGAAACAGCTCAAGTTCGAGAGTAGATACCACTCTTACCGTCGCAGAGACACCTTCATTGCAAATCATCTTGTCATTGACACCACCGACAATGACCAAACCAAAAAGCAACCTGCTATTGTCACACCCACCGAAACTCGAAGCCAAAGGAACGATATCACCCATGAGGGGAACAAAGACGTCCGTGAGCTGCTTGAAACCATTTTTGATCAAGGGCAACTCCCAGATTTACTTACTTTCGACGTTGACTTAGATTCCTTTAGAAGCAAGGTACAAGCGATGGGTATCCGTCTGCAGAAAGAGGCAAATGAAAAGAGGAGTAGGATGTTAGCCGAGGAAGACGACGATTTGAGCCACGCAGTCGACAAGAGCAAGGTTGAAGCATTTTTGGATCGATTCTGTTGCCCCCTTAGAAGGTCTTCAATTCAGAGCTTCTTGCATGTGGCATTGCAGATCAATGACGCAGGCTGTCGCGATATCTTACAGCTTCAGAAGTATGGAGGAAGCAAAGGTCGTGGGCTGAATCTTGTTCCTGTAATTCCAGCAGACTCGGCGACATCCTTGGTTCGAAATGCAAAGAAGTATCTACCTGGCTTCTTTGGTGCCATTGTGTATGGAGATTTTACTCGAAGGGAGACGTGCTTCTGTCTCACAAAGCTGCTTCGTGAATATGAGCCAGAAGGAGTCAAAGATGCGGTTCGAACAACAAACATGCAACCGATGCCACGGATGAACCCACACAATCAAATCGCCATGTTCCAGGAGCTTAACTTGACATACGAAAAAGGAAAAGCCATGAGACAGTTCTTCAATGCAGATAAGTGCAATCCACTCGTATCAGATCGAGTGATGCGAAGCTTGGAAGCAGCAGTCAACGTCAAGCCTACCTTGCTCCGATTTCAAGAGGGGAAAACAAATAAGACCGGTTGGATCCTGTCGGTGGAAGATGTTGTTCGGGAGGAAATCAAATCGGAGGCTTCCCCAAAAGACTCTTGCGTCCATGTTGTCCTTTCAGCTGATCACGGTCAAGGTGCTTTCCGAGTCCATGTATCAATCCTCTTTATTTCAGGCAAAAGAGTTCGAAGAGAGACACATCAGATGGTTGGGCTTATCAACTGCAAAAAGGACACGAGAGCAGTAATCATGGCAAGCGGTATCGACAAAGCTGTCAACGACTCCTTGAAAAATCTAATAAAAAGCCCAGGTGCCTTACCAATGGAATTCTTTGTTGTCGGAGACTTGGCCTTTTATTCTTTGTTCCTTGGCAAGGAAAACATGAGCGGTCACCACTGCTGGGAGTGTCAGATGATGTGGAAACAGTTTCAAAAGGATCCTACGAAGATAGGCAGAATGTGGACGCTTAGGTTGATGAGAAGACGATATAAGAAACTGGAGAGCAAAGAGCTGAAGAGGAGCAAGCCAATACAAGAGAAGGGGATCAGGACGTTACCATTGTTTGATTGCATTGAACCTGTTAACTGGCTGCCACCTCCTCTTCACGGTGTCATCTTGCTCGCCAACACTCCATTTCACTACTTGCAAAGGATGGTTTGGTACAGGCATGAAAGAGTTCCAGTGGAAGTCATTGAGGCCAGATTCGCGAAAGCAGATGCTGAAATGGATGCTGAAGCCAAATGGAATGAGTTGGTGGATGCTGAGGAGCATTGGAATGACATGTATGGGGTGATGACGGACCTTGTTGGTAATCCAGACATCCAATTTGAAGACACTCAGCATGAGCAAGACTACATTCGACACGAGGAACACCTCAATCTAGCAAAAGCTTGGCTTGAAGAGGCAGATGCGTTCCAGAAGAAAGCTGCCGCCACTCTCAAGGCCAAGAAGAAGCTATTGAAAAAGTTAGAGGACAACAAAAGGAATATGGCCGGACAACACAGGATCTTTGGATGACAATCCAGAGGAAGCTTGACAAAGATTACAATGTGCACATTTCTTCTTACCATGGCGGAGCAATGGAGGGCAATGAATGCCGGAAGCTCCTCCAGCACGCAGTGCCGATAATGGATGACATTCGAAAAATCCTCCTCGAAAATATCGAGGCTCAGTCCGAACTCGATGTGGGGCAGGAATGCAAAGGCGACGCGGCAGAAACAGAGCTCTTCTGTGATGGCTTCAAGAGGCTGTTCCAATACATGGACCTGATTGCGCACTACTGTTATCAACCTTTTGGATCGATGTCCGATCAAGATGTTGTCAATGCTCACAAGGCAATCGATCTGGCCACCGCATTGTGGCACAGACTCATGCCAACAATTCCAATGAAAGTGCATGCGTGGCAACACCTCAAGCAAGCTTTGGAACGGCTCCGGGGAATGAAGAGTCATATGGAAGAGGCCATGGAGCGGTGCCACCAACAGGGCAAAAAGGATAATGCGAGACTGAAATGTTTTCGCGACGATCTGAAGAAAGCAATGAATGTCCTCCGCCATGCCGCAACCAGGAAAAAGAAAGAAGTCCAGGAGAAGCTGGAAGAGACCAAACGTGGTGTTAAGAGGAGGAAATCCAAAGTTGATGCCGCGGTTGCTGCCGAAATACCTGCTATCCATAACCACACTTCCTCCCATCACAACGGACTTCCCAAGGCTAGATGAACTGCTGAGGTTGTACCGCAAGGATCAGCTACAGTGCGAACCAGTTACGGAGCAAGAAGAAGCCGATGCGGTCGAGGAGGAAGAGGTTGGAGGAGAAAGTTGATCGCCATCGTCGCCTTTGCTCCACAACAATCTATTTTTTGTGAGTTTCTTTGCCGTGGCAAGAGGATTTCGAAATTCCGACAAAATCTCTAACCCAAAGGAGGGTATTATTTAACACTGCAAACTTGGATAAAGAAATCGACTTGGCACAACGTAGTATTGACTAACGCTATTATAAAACAGCAGGCTGCCATTACTCTGCCTTGGGCTTAAGCTTGCTCCGGATGTCGTCGTTCTGTTCCAGCACCATGCACTTGGAATGCCGGGCTTCTATGACAACAGTCAGTGCATCTACAATAGTTTGATTCTAATGGTTGAACTATGATGTAACAAGTAGAGTAGTATCAAAGACCTATAGATTCATTGCTACAAGAGAAAGAATACCTACACAGTAGATTCGGGGATCATCCATCCGTCACGTCGAACAGTGAGTTGGTGCTGGCATTGCAACGCAATATAAGCGTTGTCAGGAAGTGCTTTAGTAGAGGATGCAATAGGCTGATCATGGTGAAACCGCTGGTGTGATTGCCTCCACCACAACACTGGAAGCAAAGATCATGGCCTGGGCAAAGACATTCGAGCTTCCTTGCTCTCCATTCCAGATCATAGTGATTGTCACTTTCTCGAAACCTTCTGGATTGCCCACTGGCAAACGCACAACACTCTTGATTGCCTTGGTTCTTGTGATTGGACTAATCACTTTCTTGGGCGACTCCACAATCCATTTGACATCAGGTGGCAAGTTGAGCGTCACCGTGTTTCTTGTCCCCTGTTCATTGAGAACTACAATTCGGAAGAGCGAATGGTTGCCGAATCGTTGCAGAGCGACGGGGCCACTGTAGTTGACGGTGCGGTCTCCAATCAAGAGATCAACGCTGGCAAATGATGCCTTGGCATGTCTTTGCTTGCCATCTTCTTCCGAAACTGCGGCCACAACTTGCCAGGAGACCGATGCCATGATTGGATGAGCTATTCGATGATTGTAACTTGTCGGCTTGTGGGCTTGGCTTGTATGTAGCGTAGCTAGCTAGCTTTGCTTGGACTCAAATCGCATTGGATTTGAATGGTTTGAATGGATCGGATCTACGCGCCAAACCGAGGCTTTGATGAGAACATACTCCAGGATCCCAATGCGCGAACCCACCAACTCTCATGAATCATCTCACAACCTGCAATCGATCAGAAGCAAAAGCCATCATGTCGGACTCGGACTCTGAACCAGACTACCCAGTTGAATTCTACAACAAAGAAATGTTGCTCCATCTCTTCTTTGATGACCAGCATGACAGTCACACCCCCATGGCCACTCTCATCCAAAAGAAGATCAAGCCGCTCACTGAGAAGGCTCAGAAGTGGCTCGCCCGTGAGGTCAACAGGTCCATCATGATGGGCAAGGACTGCACTCTTGTCTCCACCATTGGCGGGAAGTATTATTGGGTGGCTGATGAGTTTAAAGAGTGGGCGAAAAAGCTGGCTCTCCATTATGGCGTCCTCCGTGTTGTTTCTTCTTCCAACAACTGCATTGTGCTTCTCACCAAAAAGGAAACTGTTGTCACCATCCTCATCTATGGAAACAACAGGTTTGATCTCCACAAGCCCGCTCCCAAGGTCATCGAGGCTCCCAAGAAGAAGGCTGCTCCAGCGAAGAGGACTACTCCACATCCGAAGAAGAGGTTTGCTTCGAAGCGCATTGAGGATGAGGATAGTTTCGAGGAAGACTATGAACTCTCCCAGCAGATCACCCCCCTCAAGGCCTTCTACAACCGTAAAGGCAAGTAGCTGTGCAGTAGCAGCTTGTTAACCTGCCCGTGAGAGGCGTCGACAGCGGCAAGAAGAAGGTCATCATTGTGGTGCTTTTCGATCGAAAATGATGTGCCGAACGACGCTATTATTTGCCACCGGCGGATTCGGTCAAAATCGGTTGCAGCCGAATCGAATCGAACTATCCGGTAATATTGGACTTAGGAAAAATCCGGTAATATTGGACTTAGGAAAAAAGTAGCCGTTTAACTCTTAAAAGAATTATATGAACTATTTACGTTGAACCTACATGGAATCGGGTCTGGTACATCGTGTGTCGACAGTGATCAGTTGGAGCATGCTCTATTTATTCTCACTGAAAGCCCTGACTGCAATCTTGACTCCTACCACATCTTTGCCTAAATTGATGCTGTCTACCGGTACTACGATATCATAAGACTCTTTGGGGATTGGTAGGTTTACACTAGAATGGAACCCTACTAAGTGCTACTGCAGTACTGTCTCTAACTGGCTTCACAGCTGCCCATCTTCAGGGCATGACTATGAAACCCAACTGAATCTCATGGTATGGGTACTGCAGAGATTGGGAATGATGAATCCCTGAATATATGTGTTTGGTACTAGCTAGGAGTGAGGACTCGACTCGGTCTAGGCACCTGGTATGGCACCATACCAGAACTACGGGATCCAAAACACTGAACTGAGCAGCCAGAGTGGCATGGATGGGCATGGAAAAAGCACCTTGGTCATCCTACAGTACCGGTACCTGGGGGCTGTTGTGAGACCAACTAGCTACCGGTAGCTACCGTAAAGAGAACGAACTGTTTTTTGAGTTTCGCAAGACAAAAGGTCGCACGCTTTCTCGCGCAGTTTCTATGCGTGATTCGGTTGTCGCTCGTGACCGAAGCCAAAAGAGCCGAGCCGAGGCACCCTCGCTTCACAACAGCCATTCACATGCAGTCAGCCATTTCAGTGTGCCTTTTTGACTTTGGCCACAACACTCTCCGAAAATCCAAACGTTGACCAAGACCCAGAGAGACTGATCGAGGAAAAGACGGCTGTCACAATCGTAAACAAACTATCACAATGGTAAGAAGGACAATGAGATTGGAACGCAACAATACAATTGTCAGGAGGAGGAGCAAACGGCCGCATTTGTGCCATTGGATTGTCTGTCAGCCATGCCATGGACGCTACGCTGTACTAGATTTGCGCGAAATGGAGCAGAAGCGAACTCCCAAGGGCAATGACACTGCCCTGGGGCTTGTAGGGCCCCTTCTGCCGTTGATTGAAGTGGCGGAAGGGAATGTACTCCTTGGGTAACTGCGCTGGTAGTTAGTTCGAAGCGGCGCTGATGATACACCAAGACTGCCAATGAGCACTAACCGAATGATTCAATCGGATCTGCCGGCGTCTACTTGGTAGTCGATGCTCGGCGAATGTGATTTACGCCAAACTTGGGCTGCTTCTGAATACTTGCTGGGATCGATGATGCGACAATGCCCGACAATTGAATAGCAATGTTTTGGGTCATTGGTTGTACTCACGCCATTTCTATTTCTCCTTTATCATGTATAGGCTCAACAAGATATCCCCGAATTTAAGCTTATTCTCGTAGGAGATGGTGGTGTTGGAAAGACCACCTTTGTCAAACGTCACTTGACTGGGGAGTTCGAGAAGAAATATGTAGCAACTTTGGGAGTCGAAGTCCATCCTTTGATTTTCCACACCAACCGTGGACCCATCAAATTCAATGTTTGGGACACTGCTGGCCAAGAAGTAAGTCAGTCAAGTCATGGACAGAAAGGAAGAATGACAACCACTAAGCTCTGATGCGATTCACTCTATGGATAAAAAAATGACAACCATCTCATCCCTTGTTTTTTGTTTTGTTGGAATGAAGAAATTCGGTGGGCTCCGTGACGGATATTACATCCAAGGGCAGTGTGCTATTATCATGTTTGACGTGACGAGCCGTATTACATACAAAAATGTCCCCAATTGGCACCGTGATTTGACCCGTGTGTGCGAAAACATCCCCATCGTCTTGACTGGAAACAAAGTCGAGATCAAGGACCGAAAGGTCAAAGCCAAGCAGATCACCTTCCACCGCAAGAAGAATCTGCAATACTACGATATTTCTGCCAAATCGAATTACAACTTCGAAAAACCGTTCCTGTGGTTGGTGAGTTAATCTCTTTTGTTGTGAAATCCTTTGCTTTGCTTCATCACACTCATTCTCATTCATTCATTGCTTTTTGTACAAATATAGGCGCGCAAGTTGTCTGGAGACAACCAGCTTCACTTTGTCGAGGCCCCGGCTCTTCAACCACCCGAATTCACCATCGACGACGCTACCAAGCGCCAATACGAACAGGAGATCGCTGCTGCTGCCGCGCAGCCGCTTCCCGAGGATGACGATGAAGATCTGTAAGCAGGAAATTGAAAAGGTTGACAATGGCGTTTGTGGCTCTACTGCAGTGTGCAACGACGTCGATCTAAAGTCGGACGGATCGAGCACACAACGAGCAGCAATCCAGACGTTGTAAGCAAGAGAAAAAGAGATTGGGATCCAGAAAGCCGCAAAAGAAAGATTTGAATTTGCACCGACCGGCAACTAGATGAATGAACGATACTTTTAAAACAATAACAATGGATCTTTCCATCTGTCTCCTTGGCAATATATACCTTGAACAGTAATTATATATTGTAGCATTAGATGGCGACAGCGAGCGCGTAAACTTGTGGGCTAAGCATAGCAGTCTCGTTGTCTTTCGATGAACCAACGCAGTATCGTACGGGTACGGTATGGTATGCCTCAGACCTCACAAGCACACCAGCTATCAGCTAGCAAGAAACTACCTGGTAGGAACGCACAGATCACCCATGCTCGAAGCGTTCTGTTCGACGTAGATTGTTACCTTGATTTTTGCGGACGGAAATTAATGCGACACTAGCCACCAGCCAGCCCGGAGCGCACAGTACTAGTAGTCTAGAAGTCGTAGACGACGAACAACTCAAACTAAGGTCTTTATCAAGAGTTCTAGCTTTTGGTACCTTTCGCCACGGTAGCTCATTCCAAATACACGACAGCTACCGGGACAGTCACATATGCTCATCAAACCACCGCTTTATCTTTACGGGCAACGAAACAGCAAGGGGAAACAAGCAATGGGTGGTTAGAGCTAGCTCACTACCGATACGTCGTTTTGTGGCGACAATAGCCCCCCCCAAAAGAGGAGAAGAACACTTACATTGATCCAATGGTCCGCTTTGGAACAAACGGCTCCAATCGGATGATCACAGTCGTCATACTGAAGTAGCTTTGTTTTGACACCGTTTGACCGCAGAATGTGGTAGAACTCGAGGCCTTGGAAAGGAGGGACTCTGAGATCTTGCATGCCCAGAGCGATCAAGGTGGGTACCTTGACCTTTTGCGAATGGAAAATGGGCGATTTCTGATACATCTCTGACAGTTGTTCAGCACTGGCACCCGTGAACCTGTTCCAGTCGTACTTGCCTATCCCACAGGCTTCAACGACGCACCAGTCCGGGATATCCGTCGCACTCATCATGCTAGCAATGTTGGTGACAGGGTTCCTCGTACACGCTGCTTTGAACAAATCTGGATACTGACCAATGCAATGTCCAGTGAGGAAACCTCCATGAGAGCCACCGCAAATGCCCAATCGAGCGGGATCGACAAGCCCGGACTCAGCCACATGCTTTACGGCGTGGACGACATCTTTCACATCCAGGTCGCTACAACGGGAAGGAAGGTCTTCGACTGCCGATTGCCCAAAGCCAACGCTTCCTCGGTAATTCACTAGCAAGAGGGCATACTTTGACAAGCCACACAGGAAGGGCCACGTCGGTAGATAGTCTGTCGTGGACACACTGTGAGGGCCTCCATGTGGAAGGCAAATCAAAGGAGGCTTTGCTGCACCCTCTTCCTGTTTGGGTAGCACGAGGATGCTCTGGATGGGGGCATTCCACTTCGTCCCGTCATCACCCTCTCTCTCCAAGTTCAAGATTTGGTATGTAAAGTCAGATACTGGATCAGTAGTGGCAGATACCGGAGCACACGTAGACGCTGACAAAGGTGCTAAAGACGCCACCGATGTTGCGGCGGCACCTTCGTCGACAATATTCGGTTTCGAAAGCTCATCGGGTGGAATGTAAGCAATGACACCAGGATTGTTGAGTGTAGATTCTTTCAGGACGATTCCTCCGGATGAGGTCGTGCAGAGTATGCGTTGTGACGTCAATCCCTTGGACCATTTGTCGGATCCGTCAATGCACGCCCGCACGAGCCTTGTCGTTCCGTCGTTCACATTGATTCGAACCATCTGCTCGGAACTTCCCCAAATAGTGTTTGTTACCATTGTATCCTGTGATACAAAGCATTTCTCTGGTAACTGCCCCACCAAGGCCAATCCAGGAAACGAGATTTGCTCTACGATGCCTTCACTTCCCTCTGTTTGTTCACGGATGCTCCAATGTTGCTTGACCAGTACCGCTTCACTGGATACATCGATAGCACCGTTTTTCCATTCCATCCTGTGCAGGGCCAAATGACCAAAGTGAGTGTCAAAGCCCTCTTTGCTGGCCAGAAATACGAGTTTTCCCTCTGGAGACATCCGCGGCGACCTGGCCATTCGATTGTTGGGTGTCAAACAGACATAATCAGTGTCCGTGACTACGTCTTCGTCTTTGTCCGTAGTAGGTTGCCGACTGATATGCTCCAATAGATTGGAAATGGACGATGCGTAGAGCTTGCTGTGTCTCTGGATGCAATATATCAATCCCAACCTCTTGGGCATACCTTGGCCACCACCCGCATCCCATCCCGTATAGACAATGGATTTCCCATCGGGTGCAAAGACAACCTGACCCAATGTGTAGGATCCCAGGCTACTGTCGGCATTATCATCCATGCCAGGCACGTTGGTGACCTTGGCAACGCGCCCCGTTTCGGTGTGAAGCAGGAACAAATCCAACAATGGTTCATTCTTCCAGAGCTGTTCTCCCCAGGTTTCTGATTTCCCCACACCCAGCGTATGTTGACCACCTGGTATCGGATTGTTGTCATTGTCGCCTGTTTTTTGGTTTGGTTGTTGATAGTCAAAGAACGAAACTGTTTCGGGTTTCTTTCGTTCGGCCGCATAGACCAAGACCTTGTCGTCATTGGGGCTCCAGGAAGGTCTTCCAAACGTATCTGAGTCGACAATCACCTTGCCATGGAGTTTGTTTGTTGGTAGTGGGATTCGTCGGACCAGAGAGGGAGACGACGCCGTTGTCAGCCAAATTTCAAAGACTTGTCGTGGCACTGTCTTGCCGTCATTTCCATTGCTGTTGTCATCGGCTCGCAATATGGCCAGTTTGCAGGATTGGTGGCTGTAGATTTTGGCTTGAATGTTGGAACTGACTTCAGTTGGTGGCATGTTGTGAAAGACGGGTTGCTTTGTATTGCTATCATCAGTCACAATAATGGGCAGGGTATACTCGTAGCTTCGGGTCTTGTCATTATCGATATCTTCCACAGACCGTGTCAAGCTGAGCCACATTTGACCGCCATCTTCTTCCACCACACGAGCATTGCCCACATTGACAGATGCCGAAACACAATTGTTGTAATCCGCCGTCTCCTGAAGAATGCTGCTGCTGTCCATGATGTTGCTGCTACTACTGGAATAGAGTCGGGACGCAAAGATCGGAACAGGCCTTCGAGCGGCCGCAAAGGCAATAGCCGACGGTACTGAAAAGCAGGAGCAGCCGACGGAATGAGAGAGAAAGACGAGCAAGCTTCTGCGAGTGATATTGCCGCTACTGGTGATCTTGGACGCTCTGTTCCATATCATCGTCTCCTGCATCCAAAGCGGACATATAGCAGTCCAAAAGTGGTTGGCGCAGTTGGCAATTTGCAAAGGGCAACGGATCTTCAAAGAGGCGTCAGCTTTTTGGCCAGTGGATCTTTAGAAAAACCTTAGAGTTAGGGATTCATATGCCCCCTGGGTCGTCTCCGTTTCCAGTACTAGTTTAAGGTGGTCGAACCCAGGATGTAAGCCAGCTTTAGTCTGTTGATAATATTGGTGCGTGGAAAGGCAATTATCGCGAGAGTATCGCGAGAGAACAAGAAGAACAAACAAATCGACAGCTGCTGCTAAAGGCGTGCTGTAATCGCTGAAGGCTGCAGCCTTCAGCCTTCTGTATATACAAGAGCTGTTGCTAATAGTGTTGGCGAGGTGTAAGCGGCGAGCTTTGGGTGATGTTTGATGGACCTGTTATCCTTCTGAATTGGTGGAGAACAGCGATCGATTTTTCGATTCTGCTGCTTCAGACCGATAAATCTCGATGCCTGCTTCCAGTACGGCCCTGCAACCAGCCACTACTGTCTTGCTTACACTATTAGCTGCCGCTAAATGTATGGTTGTAGGGCCATACAGTCAGCAGCCATCAAGAGAATGAGGTCTCTAACACACCCGATGCGATTTTCGTCTGATGGCTCTTTTGTTTGTTCGTTGCAACAGAAGGGAATCCTGTTGTTTTCGAATTGAATCCAGTAAAAAATGGTGAAAACGTGTTTATTGTACTATTTTAGTATAGGCCCTCGCCTGCCAGTCGCGATCCAGTCTGGGTGCACCATCGAAAATGTGAGAGTCAAATTTGAAAGACAAAATTCTCGAGTTTCCAAAAACAACGGCCATGTGTAAGCAGGGTCGGCACTCATTTATTCAAGTCTTCGCCGTTTTATTTTACACGTACATGTACATACGACGAAGTCGTCGCATTACGGCAACACTCTCCATTACGTGCACATCAACGAACAACACACTATTTTATCTGTTGCTAGCTATCTAGCCAGCTATCTATCTAGATGGCATTGCTGCCAGCATCACTATCACTGTCATCATCAAGAGGTCCAACATTGTCTTCCTCATTGTCGCCATCAAGTGCATCAAAGGGAATGCACTCTAAATCAGCAAGATCCTTGGTGCCGTCCTGTACCATTTGTGCCAAATCTTGAGCTGTTTCCTCTGGGCTTACCTCCTCCTCAACTTCAGCTTCTGGGATGCTTGCTGACTGGCTAGAAGCACTAGCAGCTGGAATAGAAGCTGCAGCTGGAGTGCTGGCAGCCAGCTCTGATAGCAGCTTCCCAGTCAACCTGTCATATTCGGCGGTAGCCTTGGAATCGCCTGCCTTGCCGCATCTTTTGGATTTGGTCGAAACATGCCCCTTCTTACCGCAGAACGGGCAAAACTTGCCTTTGCCAGTTGTCGTCTTTGTCGTTTTCCTCTTCTTTGCAGGCCGTTTTGCAGCATTCTCGGCATCGATCCGTGCCGCCTCAGCAGGTAGCTGCTCTTGCGGAAGATCCAAATTCATGCCTTGGCGGTAGCATTTGTGTCGTTTCGCCCATGCCTTTTTCGTCGCAATCGTTTCAATACGGATCCTCTCATTCTTCTTTTCCGCCCGGTATTTCTTGTACTCTGGAGTCTTCAGCCGGTCCAATCGTTTCTGCCTAGCATCCTGTCGGAACGTCAGATAATGCTGGACGTGCGGAGTCATGTCAATGCCGAGCTTGACAAATAGACGGTTGAAAAACTCCACATATCCAAGCGAGACGATGCCGATGGCCAAGGCAAGACGGTTGGCTAGCGAACAGGACCCGGAAAAGACTTTGTTCTTGGGTGCGAACCAGGTACAGACGCTGTTGAATGACTCGTTTGCATTCGTGTCCAAGCCGTGGGCAATCTCTCTCAGTCGCTCAAGTTCACAGTAGCGCCCCATTTTCTTCTTCAGCAGCTCGTAGAGTTCCGCATCTTCTTTCTTGTCGCGGTAGTACTTCTTGCTAGCAAGTTGCTCAGCTGCCGTTGCCTTGCAGCGAGCGCACCAATCACCGCATTTGTCGTGCGAATCAAAATGGTGCTCCAAACAGGCCCAAGCGACATCCACATACTCGGATTCATCGCGGTCCTTGAGTGTGCGTGCCATGTAGCCGTAGTTCTTGCCAAGACGAATGGAATCCAACCTCGTCATTGTCTTCTTGTCGGCTACCTTGGCCAAATCCAAACGAATGAGTTCCCCGGTCAACTGTTTGCGGCGGTGGTTGGGATCGGCACAAAACTTTGGCTCGGGAATGTGGCCGGGTAGTTTCCCTTTGTCCGGACGATCTTGCAATTCACCTTTATTCTTTCCTTTCGTCTTTGGCACCTGAGGTAGAACGGTTGTGTTATTGTTGATTAGATAGTCTTTATTGGACCACTTCAAATCAGCCCGAATGGACGAGTCGTCGTCGCAACAAAGGAGCTCCAGAATAATGCCTTTATTGTCGTATAGATCTGTCACGATTTCCAAGGCCAAAGCCGCTTCCATGGCACCAGAAGAATCGTTTGGATCATGGTTGCGGGGACAATAGTGCTCTGGATAATCAGGACGGGTATCGGCGTCAGGGTGATCCTTTTCATGCCGTTCGCATGTGCCGCATTTCTTGCTCTTTTGACCGAACGCAACAACCTTTCGGGTCATGGCACCAACCAAACTACCGTGGCCAGACGATGAATTGTAGAGAAGGCCGGATCCTTTCTGCTGCCAAGCGCCGTCGTACGATCCCTTCAATTTGACCTTTACGGGATGGTCCTTGTGCTGCTCGGGGAGTGACAGCTTCCACGCCAAATAATGTTCTTCCGTGGTTGATCGTCTGACTTCCTCGTCCATGTTTTCCATCAGTATTTCGTCCCTCAATTCCCGCAAGATGGGGCCAATCCTTCGCTCTATGGTTGGAAACGTTTTGCCCGCCATTGTGGTATCATTCGGTAGCCCCATCAATCCAAGCAATTTGCCAGCTTCTACTCCACCGTCACCATTCGCAAGGTTCCCAAGGACGAATAATACATTGAGCTCATAATCCGTGCTTCTCTCGTATTTCTTGTCGTCGGTATGCATTGTTGTTTTTGCCGGAATTGGTAATTCGTAGACGTAATCGCATTCTTCGTTCGCACATCTAAGTCGCACTTGTGAAACAATGCCACAGTTGTGCACGTTCATTATCAACGGCATTGGCTTGTCGTCAAAATCGCAATGAGGGCATTTGGCAAAATCGGCAACTAGCTTTTCAAGTTGAGTCGTCTCCAAAAGGAGGCGGCTTGCGGCTTTGGTATTGAATTCAGTGACGGTGAGTTCATTGTCATTGTCTTCTTCGGTGGTTGACTCTGCGGTGGTGGTCTCTCCTGTGTCTTCCTCTGAATCCGAATCTTCAACAAATAGAATCCTCTTCTTGTGCTTGTTCGTGCCATTATTGCCATTTCTAGTTGATCTCCCAGTGCTGACACAAGTATCATTGATTCCAGCTAAATTGCTCCAACCATTGCCACTGGCAGAAAGCTTGGCTTGTTCAATGGAAGCAGATGGCTTCCAATAGCCAGGTACAGGTGTTGACTCCGACATTCTACAAAAAATGAGGCTCTGTTTTGTTGACGGTGTACCCAGCTGGTCAGGTACCTTTGTTGTTGGATATGTCGAGAATTCGATCATCCAATGCCGGATTCACGAAACATCAGTTCGAAGTGTCGGCGTGCGTGCAGCGAAATAAAGACTTAGAGCGGAGGTGCGCTGAAGATGGAAATTTGGCGCTGGAAGATAGAATTCCAATGCGAACCTCTATCCGGCGAGATTTCCGCGACGCTAGATTCCAAATTCCGTACAATTGCAAAAGATTGTATGTTTCGTACGTCATTATTATCAACAGACTAAAGCTGGCTTACATCCTGGGTTCGACCACCTTAACTTGTCTACTAATACAGGATAATGGTGAATAGAATCGAATGAATCATGTGGCTTATATTTAGGGTTTAGGTTTTGCAATTTTGAAGTCAACGTGTGTTAAGTGGAGGGTTGGCTCGC